TGTCTTAATTGCTCTAGCTAGAACTTCAAGTACAATATTGAAGAGAGTACATTTGGAGAGAGTGGGCAGCCTTGTCTTGTTCTTGATTTTAGAGGAATCGCTTTGAGTTTCTCTCCATTTAGTTTGATGTTGGCTGTTGTTTTGCTGTATATTGCTTTTATCATGTTTAGGTATGTTCCTGTTATTTTCCAAGACCTTTATCATGAAGGGGTGTTGGATTTTGTCAAAGGCTTCTTCAGCATCTAGTGAGATGATCATTTTTCTTTTTCAGTTTGTTTGTATGGTGGATTACATTGGTGGATTTTTGTATGTTGAACCATCCCTGCATTCCTGAGATGAAGCCAACTTGATCATGGTGGATGATTTCGCTGATGTGTTTTTGGATTGGATTTGCCAGTATTTTGTTGAATGTTTTTGCATCGATGTTCATGAGGGATATTGGTCTGTAATTCTCTTTTTTTGTTGTGTCTTTGTGTGGCTTGGGTAACAAGGTAATTGTATCCTCCTCAAAAGAGCTTGGCAATGTCCCTTCTGCTGCTATTTGTGGAACAATTTGAGGAGTACTGGTATTAGCTCTTCTTTGAATTTCTGGTAAATTCTGCACTGAAACCATTTGGCCCTGGGCTCTTTTTGGTTCGTAGACTTTTTGATGACTGCTTCTATTTCATGAGGGGTTATAGGTCTGTTTAGATTGCTTATCTGTTCTTGATTTGATTTTGGTAAGTGATATCCATTCAGAAAATTGTCCATTTCTTTTAGATTTTCGAATTTTGTAGAGTACAGATTTTCAAAGTATGACCTGATGATTCTCTGGATTTCCTCAGTGTCCGTTGTTATGTCTGCCTTTTCATTTCTGATTTTTTAAAATTAGCATGATCTCTCTTTGCCTATTGGTTAGTTTGGATAAAAGTTTGTCTTTCTTGTTGACTTTCTTGAAGAACCAGCTCTTTGTTTCATTGAGTCTTTGTAATATTTTCCTAGTTTTTTATGTATTTTATTTATTTCAGACCTCAGTTTGATTATTTCCTGGTGTCTACTCTTCTGGGGCAAGTTTGCTTCCATTTGTTCTAGAGCTTTCAGTTGCACTGTTAATTCTCTAGTGTGACTATTCTCCAGTTTCTTCATGTGGGCACTTAGTGCTATGAACTCTTAGCACTGCTTTCAAAGTGTCCCATAGGTTTGGGTATGTTGTGTCTTCATTCTCATTAAGTTCTAGGAAGTCTTTAATTTCTTTTTTATTTCTTCCTTGACCCAGGAATGGTACAATTGTGCATTATTCAATTTCCATGAGTTTGTAGGGTTTCTGCAATTTGTGCTGTTGTCGAATTCTAACTTTAAAGCATGGTGGTCTGATAAGATACAGGGGGTTATTCCAATTTTTTTGTATCTGTGTAGGTTTGCTACGTTGCTGAGTATGTGGACAATTTTAGAGAAGGTTCCATGTGGCACTGAGAAGAAGGTGTATTCTTTTGTGTTTGGATGGAATGTTCTATAGATGTCTGTTAATCCCAATTGGGTCATAATTTCTGTTAGTTCTTTTGTTTCTTTGCTAAGTTTCTGTCTGGTGGTTCTATCTAGTGGTAAGAGTGGGGTGTTGAAGTCTCCTACTACAAGTGTGTGAGGTTTTATGTGTGATTTGAGCTTTAGTAATGTTTCTTTTACAAATGTGAGTGCCTTCGTATTTGGGGCATAGATGTTCAGGATTGAGACTTCATCTTGATGGACTTTTCCTGTGATGAGTATGAAGTGCCCTTCTTCATCTCTTTTGATTGGTTTTAGTTTGAAGTCTAATTTGTTAGATATTAGGATTGGTATACCAGCTTGTTTCTTGGGTCTATTTGATTGGAAAATCTTTTCCCAACCCTTTACTCTGAGGTACCGTCTGTCTTTGAAGTTGAGATGTGTTTCTCGTATGCAGCAGAAGGATGCATTCTTTCTTCCTATTCATTCTGTTAGTCTGTGTCTTTCTTAGAAGAGTTAATACCATTGACATTGAGTGGTAGTAATGACCATTGATTGCTGATTCTTGTTTGTTTTGCATTTATTGGTGGTGGTGTTATTATGTGTGGCTTCCCCCCTTTTTATTTTGGTGTTTAGTAAAGTGGGATTATTCTATTGCCTAAGGTTTTTAGAGCATAGTTGTTATCGTCATTGGGTTGAAGTTTCCCTTCTAGTAATTTCTGCAGGGCTGGATTTGTGGCTATGTATTGCTTAAATCTGGTTTTGTCATAGAATATCTTGTTTTCTCCATCTATAGTGATTGAAAGCTTTGCTGAATACAGTAGTCTGGGCTGGCATCCATGTTCCCTTAGTGTTTATAGAACTTCTATCCAGGATCTTCTGGCTTTCAAAGTTTCCATTGAGAAGGCAGGTGTAATTCGGATAGGTCTGCCTTTATATGTTACTTGGCCTTTTTCTTTTGCTGCTCTTAATATTTTTTTCTTTATACTGTAAGTTTGGTGTTTTGATTATTATGTGGTGAGGGGACTTCTTTTTGTGGTCCAATCTATTTGGTGTTCTGTAAGCTTCTTGTACTTTCATAGGCATATCCTTCTTTAGGTTGGGGAAGTTTTCTTCTATGATTTTGTTGAATATGTATTCTGTACCTTTGAGCTGAAATTCTTCACCTTATTCTATACCTATTATTCTTAGGTTTTGTCTTTTCATGGTGCCCCATATTTCCTGGATATTTTGTGTTAGGGACTTGTTGGACTTAATATTTTCTTTGGTTGATGAGACTACTTCTCCTAGTGTATCTTCAACTCCTGAGATTCTCTCTTCCATCTCTTGGATTCTATTGGTTATACTTAACATCAGTGGTTCCTGATAGCTTACCCAGCTTTTCTATTTCCTGTATCCTCTCATTCTGTGTTTTCTTTATTGTTTCTAGTTCTGCTTTCAAACCGTGGACTGTTTGAATTGTTTCCTTCACTTGTTTGGTTGTTTTTTCTTGGCTTTCTTTAGATTCTTTAAGAGGTTTGTTTATTTCTTGAATGTTTTGGTTTGTCTTTTCCTCCATTTCATGTAATTTTTTGCTTGTTTTTCTTCTATTTCTTTAAGGGATTTTCTTGTTTCCTCTTTAATGGTCTCTATCATCTTCATAAGAAAATTTTAAAGGTCCATCTCTTCTTCATCCTCTGCGTTGGGCTTCTCAGTTCTTGTTGGTATGGAGTACCTAGATTCTGGTGGTATCATATTGGTCTTTCTGTTGTTGAGTGTGTTCTTATTCTGTCGTCTTCCCATCCCTTCTTCCAGTGTGTGCAGGTAGCGTCTCTCCCTCTCTTTTAGTCTCCTCAAGCCAAGGGTGGAGGGCGGATGGGGGACCAAGAGTGAGGTGTGTCCAGACTCAGGGTGGGCTTTCAGGTCTGGGCAGGTCCACTCCTGTTGAGGGGAAGGCTCAGGAAGAAGGAGGAGGGATGATGGGGGAAGTTGCGGCCAGAGCAGAGCTCAGACTTACCTCAGAGGGCAGAGGGTGGAGGGGGAACAAGGACAAGGTGTGGCCAGACTCAGGGTGGGCCCCCTGGCTGGGCAGGTCCACTCTACTGGAGGGGCAGGCTTAGGAAGAAGGAGAAGGGGTTTATGGGTGAGTTGGGGCCAGAGGAGAGCCCAGACTCACCTCACATGGCAGGTAGAGGGCAGAGAGAGCTCAAAATAAAAAAAAAAATCTTGACTGAACATTTGACAAACTATCTTCAATGTTTTTCAAGGTTGATTAAAATTTTCATTTTATAATCTTCAGTGCTGAGAATGCAGCTTCACATAAACACATAGTATAAAATGGCAGAAGGATGGGCTTTTTCAGAAATCATAGGAAACTGTCTTAATCCCAAGCCAAAATTCACTGAACAATTTGTGAAACTCAATAACGTGAATAGCAATTTTAAAAATCAAATACTCTAGCCCAATACAATGTAAAGATATCCTAATTTGGTACTATGGACATGATTGCAGGAAAATATGGAAGGTCTCTTTCCCATCATGAAACTGTTTCTGTAAGAGCAGAAAACAACTGTAGGAGCAGTGAACACACTGCAGTTCATGACACTCGGTAGCCTTGAATCTGAGTTTGAGGCAGAGTTTGTTGACATTGTGAAACATGGCACACAAAATACAAAGCATACATGTTGTATGTTCAGAAACACAGATATGGCCAAGTCACACAGTGACACACAAGCAAGCTCTACCTGAAATACTTTGGATCATTACTCCTTTTATTTTCATTCACTGTTGCTCAAATTTTCACAGCTCCCACATTCATTTATGTGACCACCAAACGGGGTCATGATCCTCAGTTTAAGAAGCAATGGTCTACTGAGACTACTCTGAGGGACTACACAGCCTCAGTTCGGGTGGCTGGGTCCCATGGCTCTGCTCCCATCATCTGTTTTTCCACCCACTGTGACATGGAGAGCTGATGGAGATCTCCTATGTTGTGGTCATAGGTGGTACGTGTATCAGGGTTCTTCAGAGGAACATAACCAATAAAATGAATACACATGTATGAAAAGTGGGATTTATTCGATTGAATTACACAATGTGGGCCGTGTGGTCCAACAATGGCTATCAGCATTCCAAAGAGACTGAGAATCTGGTAGCCACTTAGTCTACAAAAATGGCCATCTCAACAATGCTCATCTAGTTGGCCAGTTTGCAAATCTCACCTGACTTTCACAGGTATGCCCCAATGTGATAGGCTCCCCAGAAAGGGAACACATGAAGAAATAGTTACAACAGGGCAAAGAAAAACCTAAGTGTCCAAAAAAGGCTAGGTGATAAAGAGTTAAGCCAGAGAAATTCCAAGGAGAAAGTTATCAAGGATGAAGTCCTGGGTGAAGCATCACAGAAACTGACTTAAGAGGAGTCTTCATGACTTCGTGTGAGCTCTTAACACAGCCATTATGACATCGATAGCCTGGCTAACTTAAGGAATCTAAGCAGACAGCTGGCACCAATGACTCACCCTAGCCTCCTAACCTCCAGCACACAGCACAGCCAGGGCCATGATCCTGCCTTCCATTCTGCTGCTCGTTGCCCACACCCTGGGAGCAAATATTGGTACGTGGACTTCTCTCCCTCTGGCCAGAGCCACTGACCCAAGCAGGGGCAGCCAGGATACCTGCTCTCCTTGCCTCCCTTCATCCTATTGATATGTGGTGAGCATTAAGGACAAAGGAGATAGCAGACATGACCCATGAGTTAGCTAACAGGCCACCAGGAGGTCACCTCCAAGAGCACAGACCCCTTACCCATTCCTCTTAGGGGCTACCTGTCTTATCTTGGAGTTTTGACTTGGAAAGTTAAAATTCTACCTCACCAATACCAATGAGTGAGGAAGTGCCCAGAGCTTGGCTAGGAAGTAACCAAGTGACTTAATTTTTTCTCCCCATTTCTGTGATAAAATACTCTGACAAAAGCACTTAATGGAAAAGGCATATTCTGGTTCACAGTTCAAGCTTACAGTTCATCACTGGTGGGAAGGCAAGGAGATGGGAACTTGGCACAGTTGGTCTTATCACACCTACAATGAGAAATCCAAGAGTGATGAACGCACTCTACTGCCTAAGCCCCATTCTCCTCTTATACAATCCAGCTTTATTTTACAACTTTGGGGGTGGGTGGAAATTAGTCCATAGTCACTCTGCAGGAACACAGCATTGACATGCAACAGTCTGAGCAATACCCAGACACCCTTCCAGTTCTCTTGACACTACCTCTGATCAGGGCCAACCTGTCTCCCCAGCCTTCAGTGTGGCCTGGGGACACTCCATGGAATAGGGCATAGGGACAACATTAGCAGAACTGGTCCCTGTGGAGTTCAAAAAGAAAAGACTCTGAGTCACTCAAATGACTCCCCATGGTGTTCTGGCTGCTTCCATGTTGGCATTGTGGAGTGTTCTCAGGGCCAAGGATGTGGAGAGTGAAATTTATCTGCCAGTCCCATGGGGACTTTGGTGCAAAATGGCTCTGAGAAGTCCTGAGTCAACTGTGGCTTGAGGATTTTGCTCTATGCCAGGCACTTTGAGGGACACTTCAAACAAACATCATCATCACATTTGATCCCTAGGCTAGCCTAATGGGATGAAGGGCTTCATGCCCATTCTAAGGATGAGAAGAAGGGAGATAAACAAGGCTAAATAGCGTTCCCTCTACTCACTGGATAAGGACATCACAAACCAGCCTCTGCTGTCTGCCCAGAACCTAGGCCCCTAGCAATTTCTGTAGCTGTATCAGAGAGAGGGGACTGGAGCATACACTCACCAGTCATTCAAGTCTCTCTCTGGGGTTATTTGATATATCGGCTCCTATACATACACATACACATTTCTTTCGTTTTCCTTCTCACATACATATTTTTAACAAGATAAACCACACAAGGTTCAAATGTTTTTTTTTAAGTTACTACGTTTTAGTGTGTGTGTGTGTGTGTGTGTGTGTCATCTCATAGCACACATGTGGAAGTCAGAAGGCAGCTGTAGGAATCAGCTGCCTCCTTTACACCATTTAGTTCCCCTGGGGTGGAACTCAGATGGAAAGGCTTGGCAATAATAACTTTCCCCACCGATCCATCTCACTGACCCCTCAAATCTGGTTTCTATCCTAATCTTTTCATTCAAGTTTATATCACAAGTACCTTCCCTGCATCATTAGAAACTCCCCACAGGCCTCGTTTTCATGTCTGAGAAACAGTTCAGGACACAGATACCACAACAGCAGCTTGTCTTCTGTCTGTGGCTGTTATGAACTCTCGGAGGGGACATCTTCCAACAGGCAGATAACCCCCTTCAGACAGTTCCAGCATAGAATCCTTCAGTAAGAGGATTGAGTCTTCAGGTTGTCGAATGCCTCTCTCACAGGTATGGTCCCATCCTCAAAACAGCATCACCAAGCCATGAATGCTGCTCTCTCCACTTGGAGATGGCATCCTAGGGTCAGTGGCAGACAGAAGCACTCCACAATGACCTGATGTCACTGGAATGCAATGGACTCACCTAAGGCTGCATAGACAACAAGGAATGTCCAGGGCAGGGGCCAGGTTGGAGGAGGCTTCACTGAAGAGTGGTTCTTAGAAGCCTGTAGGGGAAGCTGTAGCCATGCCTACTTAGGGGCTGGCTACAGCTTCCCCTACAGAAGCCTAAACAAAGAGCAAGCAGGCAATCCAGGAGCAAACATTCTTGGCAGAGTGCTCAGGAACAGCTAGCCTGGCTTTAGATTTTGGTCAGGCCACTGGCTAGGCTGTGTGCCCTAAGACAAGTTACTTAACCTGTGTCAGGGTAGCACTACTTCAGTGTGATCATGAAAATACATATGAGGTCATCTTTCTACAGTGCCAGATACAAGGTGAGCACTGCCAGTGTGTTTGGTGAGCAAAAAGAATGTCCAGGCCAAAAGCCCTGAAGCAAATATCTCTGTGTTACACACAGTTTAAGGCTCTGCTAATTCCAGGCTTGCTTGCTTGCTTTTTTTGTTAGTTTATTTTTTTGTTTTGTTTTTCGAGACAGGGTTTCTCTGTGGCTTTGGAGGCTGTCCTGGAACTAGCTCTGTAGACCAGGCTGGCCTTGGGCTCACAGAGATCTGCCTGCCTCTTCCTCACGAGTACTGGGATTATCGGCATGCACCAACAATGCCCAACCAGGCTTTCTTTCCCAGCCCAGCAGCTTAAGTCTCTGTCCCCAGCTGTCAAGTAACACAATTGTTCTACATGGATCAGATGACAATAATAAAGGCTTCTGGTGGGTTCTGGCACTTTCATGACTCCTTGGGGATCTTGTGTACCTCTTCCTTACCCAGGGCTTCTGTCACACCAGCACAGGCTAAGTGGTTTAATTCACACCAATAACTTCTTACTGGTCTTTAGGATACAAGCGCAATGTGGAGATCTTAGGGTGAAGGCAAGCATTGACAAGACCGTGCCCTGTGTGAGCACTGGGGGAGAACTTCCACAGTCTGTGTTCTGACATTGAATGGCTGGTCTGGGTCTTTGTTTCCTTCCTCAGAGCCAGCACTGTAGTATCTCTCTTTGCATCGACTTTCCCTCCAGTGTGTGTGTGTGTGTGTGTGTGTGTGTGTGTGTGTGTGTGTGTGTGTGTGTGTGTTTTTGTATGTTTGGGGCAGGGCACATGAGTATGCACCTGTGTGTAAAGATCAAGGGACAAACTCGTATTGTTCCTCAGGTACTGTCCACCTTGTTTTTTGTGACAGGGTGTCCTCGTTGGCCTAGAATTCATCAATTGAGTGAGGCTGACTGGCCAGTGAACCCCCAGAGTTATGCCTATCTTTGCCTCTCCAACACTGATATTACAACCATGCTACCACACCTGGGTTTTGTTTTTTTTTTTTAACATAGGGCCTTGTGTTTGTATGGTTCGAGCTTTGTCTACTGAGCCATCCCTCCACCGGGGCCGCTATCTTCTTCGGGGTCTTAATGATGACAATACCATGCCATCAGCCATTTGATGGTCAGCAGATTAATTTCATCCCCCAAATCTCTGTTACTTTGTAAGGGGAGCTACTTGCCAGTCCTGTCACACAGTTACTAGACCTGCATGTACCTCTGGTGGTCACACTCTGCCCACCACACAGGAGTTGACTTTTGAAATTACTTTCTTCCAGGTTCACTGGGTAGAGACAGGCTTAGTAAAGCTGCCAGCCTGAGATCCCATGCAGGATGTCAACAGGGCATACACCTTCACCCCGTGTCAATGCAATGGTCTCCTTCCTATCACAATGGGGAAGCCTTGGTGTCCTGGCTTCAGAACATCCCCAGGGATTTCTCTCCCCAAGTTAGAGCCAGCCTGTCCTGCCAGAGGTTGACTGATGATCTGTTTTTCCCTTTGGTTTTCCATTCCTGCAGAATGTGGTGTGAGACCCCTGTATGATGGCAAAATTCGATACTCCAGGATCATAGGAGGGCAGGAGGCTGAGGTGGGTGAGTTTCCATGGCAGGTGAGCATTCAAGAAAAAGGACATCATTTCTGTGGTGGCTCCATTATCAGCGAGTGGTGGATCCTCACCGTGGCCCACTGCTTCTATTCTGATGAGATTTCGTAAGTATTGAGGGTCCAGGTTATCTGGGGGTGGCATGTACTCAGTCACACACAGGCTGTGAGAGGTAACCTAGTGCAATTGCTCCCTAGACAGACAAAAAATGACTCCCCTTCTCCAATCTGGAGACTCTGATGCAACTGGCCTGAGGTCACCCCTGTCCCTTCTAGGGGCACCTGCAGCTGACAGAGCCAGAGGGGCTTGACCCCTTACTTCTCTAAGACATCCAGGTGTTCCTAGGAGGCCATTCTAAATCACTTCCTTGGTTGTCTGTTGCCCCCTTTCTTGGTTCTTATGGAGAATGATTTGTCCTAGACCCAGTGGGCACCTAGCATTGACTAACAATTACCTGTGCACCGAGATCTTTGCTAGACTTTTCTTCTATACTAGCATTTGACTTTACAATGACCTTTGGAAAGACATAAAAGAAATCATTATTTCATAGATAGGGAACCCGAGGTCTGATGAATGTATATTGCCCAAGTGCATACCCAGGAAACAATGTCAGGAAGGGAATTCTGGCTTTTGCCTTCACCTCCTTTAGAAAGTTCAGAAAACTACAGGAAGAGGAGGTGTAGCCTGTATTCCCAGCTACTGGAAATGCAAGACAAGAGGAACACTCATTTGAGGCCAGCTGAGGCAACTAAGTGAGACCTTGTCTCAAAATAATAAGATATAGAATGAGATGTAATAGGGCACATTATGCCAGACATGCTTGATGCCATAGGTTCTGTCTCCAGACCCACTAAAACCAAGAATGTAGTTCCTGCTCTTGCAGGAGACTTGGGACTGATTAGATAGCTAAGAAACCCCTGGCCATCTTTCCTGACTGTTGCTATGCTCTGGAAGTTCTTTCTCTGTGGCCGCTGGAAGCTCCAAATGAAACTCTGGTCCTCATTTCTAAACCATGGTGGATCTAATGACATAAACAGTGACTACTGACGAGCGTAACACCACCTTGCCTCTCTGACAGCTGCTTGGCTCTATGCCAATCGGTCCTATGGGAGGTCCTAGTTAAGGTTACTATTGCTGTGATGAAACACCACAACCAAAAGCAACTTGGGGAGGAAAGGGTTTATTTGGCTTACACTTCCACTCATAGTGCATCACTGGAGGAAGTCAGGACAGGAACTCAAATAGGACTGGAATCGGGAGGGGGGAGCTGATGCAGAGGCCATGGAGGGGTGCTGCTTACTGCCTTGTTCCTCATGGCTTGCTCAGCCTTCTTTCTTATAGAACCTAAGATCACCAGCCAAGGGTGGCACTGATCAGAATGAGCTTGTTCCTTATCAATAATTTTAAAAATGCCCTACAGGCTTGCTTATAGCCTGATCTTATGAAACATTTTCTTAATTGAGGTTCCTGCCTTCTCTGCCTTGGTGGACTATGTCTTAAACTAAGCCCAAACAAGCTTCTTACATAGTTTCTTGTCAGATATTGGGTCACAACTAGGAGAAAGGTAGATAGCATGCTCTTTCTGCAGTCTTCAAATCTGTAACCGTTCTAAGCAACTGACCCAGCAGAACAAGTCCTAAAGGCCTCCTGACTTGCGGTGGGTTTAGAATTTTTAGACTCATTGGCTTCTCTGTTCACTCAGGCTTCCTTTCTTCTTCTCCCTTCCCTCTGCTTCTGTGCCACCAGCCCATTAGACCTGATAGTCATAGCGGGATCCAGTGACTTAACTACCGCATCCATGGAAATACAGGTCGCCAACATAATTCGACACAAAAACTTTCAAAGACTCACCATGGACAATGATATTGCCTTGTTGAAGCTAGCCACGCCCATCTATTTCAATGACATGACAGTACCAATCTGCCTGCCTCTCCATCCCACCCCTCCCAGCTGGCATGAATGTTGGGTGGCAGGATGGGGCGTAACCAATTCAGGTATGTGACTGCCCAGGGCCTCGTGGGAACTATGGGATCCGGGAAAGCAGTGAGGAAAAAGGACAAGAAAGAGAGGGTAGTGGAATGGCTTTCCATGGAGGAAATCTCCACACACACACACTGGGCTCTTGGGAGCCTTGGCTCAGCCTCTTCTGGGTGCCAGAGAGATGCTGTGGCTGAGATGCCAGCTCTGGACCAGTCCCTGAGTGTCATCAGCCCACACAGAATAGTCTTTTCTATGTATTTAATGGAATTTTGAGCACCATAGTTGTTCAAAGACCCCTCTGTTCTATTCTTAGTTCTCACATAGTAATGCCTCCTACCTGATTCCTTCAGGCTTTCATGATGCCCAGCCCCAGGCTGGACTTCCACTGCTCAGCCACTCTTAGAAGTTAATGTTATCATTTACAACATTTAGACGGTTATTTGGTCAAAATAAGAAACGTATGTGGAGCAGGAATGTGTGGGCAAATCCCGACTTGACTGCCCCCTAAGAAAAGCCCCCAAAAGCAAAGCAGTTGGGAGGACAGAGACAAGAACCACACAGCCTAAACTGAAGCAAGCCTCTGGCTCATGACAATGCCTTGTGTGAGCTGAGCCTGGATTTTGGCTTCTCTCAGCAGCTTAGCAGAGAGAGACAGGTAAGAGCATGGCTTCTGGCTCCAAATGAGACTTAGAAGTGGGGAAGGAGGCAGATGATGACCTACAAGGTTAAAGCATCCTGGGAAGAAAAAAAACTACACATTTCTGTGATGAAAGTTGAGAAATTCAGGCAAATTCCTCCTACTGGAAGCCAAGGTCATCCCTTATGTATTAATTATTTTTGTGTAGGAACAAAATATCTTCCAGAGACATGAGAGAAGAAAGGGTTATTTTGGCTCAGGGTTTCAGGGATCTTGGTCAATTATTTGGGAAAGGCCAGAAATAGCAGTCCTGAGCCCGGGGGTGTCAGCATGGGACAGAGGCTGTTCACACTGCAATAGGCCAGGGAGCAGAGAACAGGACAGAACCAGGAAGCAAGAATCACCCTCAAAGGCCTGCTCCTAGAGGCCTACTTTCACCAGCTAGGCCCCGCCCATAAAGATTCCACAGCCTCCAAAATTAGCAGCCTCTGCTAAGAAACAGGTGTTCAGAACACCAGTCTGCTCTGAGAGACATTTCAGCTTTAAACAGTGCACCTCCTGAAGCTCCAGCCAGGAGCTAGAGAGACAGCTCAGCAGGCAAGGCACATACTGCTCTTGCAGGGGATCTGAGCTCAGCTCTCAGCACCTGTGTTGAGGGGTTCATAACTGCCTGTAACTCCAGCTCCCGGGGATCTGATGCCCTCTTCTGGCTTCTGTGGCCTCTCTCTCTCTCTCTCATGTGTTTGTGCACACACAGATACATACACATACATGTAAATTTTCTAACGTTTAAATCTTTTCAAAGGACAACCCAGCTAATCAGTCAGTGCTGGAAAGCCTAATAATTTTTTCACTATGGTACAAATGTAGCAGGGATGGAGTGCCGTGCTCACAAGGACAATAGTGATGGGAGTTTCGGGAAAAGGCTCACTAGTGTGTTTTCTGTTGATGGAGTCTAGAAGAGGACTAAGGTTCTAAATGAGAGGAACACTTGCAGGAGGCAGGGTTAATTAGAAGAGTTTAGATGATGATAAAGTCCAAGTGTGGGTTATCTGAAGGCTGTGGGTACTGAGTCTATGAGGACCATGAAGGAGAGTGTTTTTGGCCGGTACTGGAGGTTACGAGGCTGACTCCAGGCCAAATCAGCTCCATTGTCTGCATAGAGACCCCCCAACCTGGTGGCTTGTCCAATGTGCATTCTCTCTATGCCAGATGACAAAAGATCTATGAAGACCGACCTGATGAAGGCACCGATGCATATTATAGATTGGAAGGAATGCACAAAGGTATTTCCAAAGCTGACCACCAACATGCTGTGTGCTTCATATGGTAACGAGAGCTATGATGCCTGCCAGGTAATGAGGGGCAGCAGCCCCCCTCCCTCAACCTGTAGCCCGAAGGTGTTTCCCTTGCAAGAGTGTCTCCCCTCCCCTAGGAATAGATTCAGATTCTAGAGTGCAGGCTCCAGAAAAGGCTCAATCAGTAAACTGCATGCCATACAAGCATAAGGACCTGAGTTCGATCCTCCAAACCCATGTTTAAAAAAAATAAAAAAAGCCAGACCTGGCGTCATACACTTGTATTCTCAGCACAGAGAAGGCACGAGACTCCCTAGGATTCTCGGGCCAGCCAACCTAACAGGCAAGTCCATGCTAGAGAGAGACTATCTCAAAACAAGCAAAACAGACAAACTGAAACCAAAACAAAAGGACCAATAGTAGTTGTGAACACGATGTCTGAGAAACTAGAGCTGAGGTTGTTCTCTGGCCTCTGTGTGTACACTTGAACCTATGTGTACACTTAGGAGCATTTGGGTGAAGGCTATGCGTACAGTAGCCCTGGCATTGTTGTGGCCCACCTAGGGGTCAACATGCAACAAGTCCACAGACGATTGCAGGTCTTCATGGACACTAAGCCCACAGGATTCCACCACTTTTCCCACCTGTCTCTGCCTCCCTGGCACTGGGATTGCAAACTTAAGCCACCATGCCTCGCCTTTTAATGGAGAATCTGGGAGTGGAAGTCTTGTCCTGACTGAGTCCTGCCCATTCTGCATGTACTTTTCTTCTCTGCCCTTGCCAGAACCTGGTTTGAAAAACCTCACTTTTCCTTCTACCAATCTTCCATACCCTCTCTGGAGGTCCTTTCTTATCAAGCCCCCCCCCTCTGATCCTGCACACTGATGGCCTTTTGTGCTGCACCCTCTGCTCCACAGGCTACTCAATAACAGCAAATCTCTCTCTGGGGCCAGGATGGGGTCAGTTATCACCTTTGTCAGTGATGACCAAATTTGACATTTATTTGAGTAGGCAAGGTCAAGGGTTACCTTCCCATAATGAGTTGTACCTGGCCTCAATGGGCAATTTAAAGTGGACTTAATATTGTACTGTGCTCTCTGCCCACAGGGTGACAGTGGGGGACCGCTTGTCTGCAACACAGAGCCTGGCAATAAGTGGTACCAGGTGGGCATCATCAGCTGGGGCAGGAGCTGTGGGAAAAGAGGCTCCCCAGGAATATACACCCTGTTGTCAAACTATACCCTGTGGATAGAGAAAATAGCCCAGATAGAGGGGAAGCCCCTGGATGCTAAGCCTAAGAGGGCCGCTGTCAAGAAGAAAATGAGAGGGCGCAACCAATCCTCCAAATGCCCAGCACTGGGCTACCCTCAAAGCTGGCTCCTGTCCTGTCTTCTGCCCTGTGTGTTACTCAGAGCCTTGTCCAACTGGGAATAAAGCGATGTAGTCTCTAACCCCCAGCATGTATATGAGAATGTATTCTGGGGCTGACTATAAATCTGAGCCAGCATCATAGAGATTGGGGTGAGCACAGAAAGAGGAGACCCCAAAGAGAGGCTGGAGCTCTGGTTCAGAGACTGAATGCAGATACAGCCAGATGGAATGACTATCACCTTGGGAGGCTGGAGAAATGGCTCAGCAGTTAAGAGTACTTGCTGCTCTTGCAGAAGAAACAGGTCTAGTTCCTGGTATTCATGTGGCTGCTCATAACCACCTGTAACTCCAGTTCCAGGGGACCAAATGCTCTCTTCTCACCTCTTTGTTCTCCTGCACACTAATGGTGCATATGCATACCCCCTGACACACGCTCGCGCACACACACACACACACACACACACACACACACACATTTTTTTACATTAAACTAAAGGGAATTTAGAAATGGCTAAAGAACAGAAATTGCCTGGTCTGTTTGCTATTAAAATGGGAAAAAAAGTCACAAGGAGATGAAGTGACTTGACCGAGGTCACATGGCTTTTACATCTTACTGCTGGCTTTAATCCCAATCCCCTGTTTATCTGGTTCAGAAACAGGTCTGGGATCAGAAAGAGACTCTAAATTAGTGCAGACGAGTTGGAGCATGTGATAGCCACTGAACTTCCCACAGGCTACAGTCAGTCCTCTGAGGAGCCCCTCCTGCCACTCAGTGGGGATATGCTGATGGCCAGTCCAGCCATAGACAGGCAGTCCTCACTTTAGGAGTTTTGGGGCAAATCAATCATCCCCTGATGGTCTTATAGTAAAGTCCTAACCTTCCCCCGAAGTCCCTCACAACATGACTGTGTTTGGAGATGGGGGCTGCCATGGTTAATATTGCTTGTCAAGCTGATGGTGCCAATGTAACCTAGGAAACAGACCTGTGAACAGGTCAGTGAGGGAATTCACATTGTTAATTGAGATGGGAAGGCCCACCCTGAATGTGGGTGGCACCACTCCAAGTGCTGGAGCCCTGTGGTTATAAAAGGGAGAGTGAGTTGAACACCGACATCCATTGCTATCTGTTTCCTCACTGTGGATGCCGTGTGACCAGCTGCCTCCTGACACCATGCCTGTCCTGCCATGGCGACTGTACCCTTAACTCTGAGCCAAAATAAACCCTCCCTAAGTCGATTTTTGTCAGATATTCTATACTAACGCAGGAGTCTTTAAACATGTCACTGAGATGAAATAAGGTCCCAAAGGAGACCGAGTCTAGTGTGGCTCATGTTGCTAAGGAGAAAATCTGGACACAGACAGGGACAGAGGGAAGACTGTGAAAGCTCAGACTTCCAAAAGTGAATTTGCAGTCAAAGCCCTAATTTGAGAGTTTGGGGTGCATCATGACCCTGACGCCAGTGTCACCCTGCCCACTAGCCCTGGCTGCCCAGCTGATAAAGGCAGCAAGAGGACAATACTAAGTGAGAATTGAATAATTTTCTAGACCCTGGGCTCATTGTATTGTTTCCTCTGTCCACACTGCATTGTCACCACCCCCAAAACCTGTCTGGATGATGGTCTCCTGAACTCTCAGATGCCAAGGAGAGAAAGTGTGGGACAGCTGCTCAGTGTGAAGTCACTGCCATGAGTGTTCCCAGGAGCTGGTCTTGAACAAGTCTCTCATTTCACTGAGTCCCCAGGTCCCCCAAAATGGAATACACAAGTCTAGCTCCTAACCTGCCATCATACAATGGCAGAGATCAAATGTGACTGTGCATACACACGCACACACACACACACACACACACACACACACACACACACACACACACTCACTCACAATGGTAGCCTTCTAGTGTTTGCCATGAATTATTTGTTGAGCTGTTTTAGTAAGGCAGGAATAGAGTTATACACAGAAAAACTGCCTACAAGATGACATAAGGTTACCTGCAGTTACAAACAGTAAATGCCTAGAGAAAGCATGTTGGATGGTCTCAAGTCAGCCATTAAACATTTGCTGAGTCGTACCACCTGGATGAAGCAGGGAGCAGAATGCCTGCCCTCCATGCTACTGGGGGAACAAACACAGCTCAAAAAAGTCGCTGCCTATGACAGGTAGAAACAGAACAGAAGAGGGGAGAGAGGCTGGGCCTGGGGAGGGCAACTTCTTGGTAGTGATTCTTAGGGAGAGCTAACAAAGAGAGGGGTGCCTGGGGGAAGTTAAGGGCAGGCTGTGTGAGCTCACAGCCAACAAGCTGAGAATGGCCTGGAGGAGCTGTCATTCCCAAATGAGGCCACGAGATGGCAGAGTGGTTCAAGACAGGTAGTCTGCTCAGGACTCCTCGGGAAGAACTTTGGTTCCTCCCAATGAGGTGGACTTGAACAGGCCTCTGAGTGACAGGATACCCAAAAGGTGACAGACACAGCCTTGAAGTGAGAGAGAAGATAGGAGGTCCTATGCTGTGCCGGGTAACTGCTGAAATCTTTGCATTAGCCTCCACTCAACCCCACAAACCAGCTCTGGCCCTGCTCCACTGTGGCCCAGCTGTGGCTCAGCTGGTGTCATCCTTAAAGCACAGTTTCTCTCTGCTATCAGAAGGATGCTGCCCCTGGAGGTAGAAGCCCCAGGTTGATGGGACCAGGCTCAGCACCCTGCTTTTTCACCTCTGGATTGACCTCAATGTGCTTGACCTCGAGCCTGTGCCCATTTGGAATGTGTCTCAGATCAGTAGAAAAGAAAGTTAGCTTGCTAGAGCCAGGAACATGACGGCCAGATGCTCACTGTCAGTGAGCTGCAAACTCCTTTCCTGCAGGATAGAGGGGTCAGGGCAGCCTGTCCGCAGCCTGGTGGCAGTGAGACGGACTCCAGTAACCCCCAGACAACCCAGATCCTCAGAGGCACATGTCTCAGAGAGGAACTCTCAGGTCAGATTCACCATAAAGCCAGCATGGAGTAGAGAACACAAGGCCTCCACATACATGCAAGGGTGCCAAAGAAGGATCCGGGGTCCTCGGAGATAAGTTCCTGCTGCTCTGCTCACCACCACTTGGTGGCAGTCACTAACTGCAGGTTTTAGGTTTTTGTTTGTTTTCTAGTTTTGTTGTGCATGATTTGGGGTTTCTTGGTTTTGTTTTAAGATGGGTGTTAACTATGTCACTTTCTCTGACCTTGAACTTGGCTCCTTCAGCCTCTGAAAGGCTGAACCACTCACCATGTCCTAGCTAACCGTTCAAAAAACAAAACAAAAAAAATGTTAAGGTAGTTCTTGGGACTTACGTTGGGAATCCTGGTGTAGCTTCCAGGACTCCCCCAACCAGAACCTCTTTGCTCTTTGGGCACAGCTATCCAACCCTGCTCCCCACTGTGGAGTCAGGGTTTCCCCACCTGCCTGCCTTCCACCTCCTGCCTGTCTCATGAGAACACAGGGATCCTAACCTGATGAGGATGTGGTATTGAAGTTTCTGCCCGTACACTTTCCCAGTTTCCATCCCATGTCTGTGTGACCACACAGAGTACTTCAAAGAAGAGGGTGGGTGTGTATGCGTGCATGTGTGCCCGAACATGTATGAAGTGAGGGAAGGCAGGTGGTAGGGGTGTGGACTCAGTTGTTCCATCTCTGTCACATTCAGGCAAGGCGTTATTAAATCACAGTTATTCCTACTAAGACCTTCTCTTCCTAAGGCCCCCACAGCCAGAAGAGGCCCTGACTTCTCCCACAGCCACATTAAAGGCCTTGCCCTTGTCACTGTTTGGTAGTGTCTTCTTATTTCAGAGCATGCATCCCAAGACCCTGAAAGGGAGGGCTTGGAACACTGTCCCTCCTGGGAGAGCAGTGGAAGGATATCCTTTAGAAGCCATCTGCGCTCAACAAGTAGTAAAGGTCACGCCTCCTAGCTGAAGGTCAAGAGGAACAGGAAGCAGTTGGACACTTGGGGCTTCTGCCTGATCCGTTCCAGCTTGTTTGCCCTGGGAAATGGAATACACCTTGGCTTTAAGAAGTGCTCACACACTCCCTCCTTCCCTCTCTTTCTTGTGCTGTATTGACTCAGATGAATGGTACGTGTGTTTGTTCCTGTAGCAAGAAGCAGAGGACAGAAAGGTGGCTCTAAGTTTCCGGCTTAGGGCAACTCAATGCCAGCAAAATCTTGCATCTGTGCATGCAATGCAGTCGGACTATCTACTGAGGGCCACTGTGTCCCAGAAGCCTGAGGATAAGCACTCTGTGACTGTGTGCTAGAGTACCCGGTCCCACAAAGGGACTTCTTCCAGGCAATGCTGACATCTAAGACCAGGGTATGAGCTATGAGGAACAGCAGAGTTGAGGGATGGAGTGGTGTCTTCTTGTCTGCATTGACCTCTACTGGCATAGTGTTCTTGAGTATGAGGGAGAATCCTTACTATGCTGCCCTGTGTTAACCATTTCTCAAAGTAGGACCTTTGAGAAGCCTCTGCCTTCTGGTGTTCCTGCCCAAAGGGGTAGATGAATAATAGACCATTGCCCTTTCAAATAACAGTTAGACAAGGCCACCAGGTATTGAGAAATGTTTCAAAAGATATTGAGGTCCCTAAGGAGATAGCTGGATGCCATGCCCACCTCTTTGAGGCTTAACAACCACACTTCAAATGACAACTCCTTATGTCTTGCAGAAAAGGGCAGTAGGAGCCACTGGTCATGAAGAAACTCTTGGTCTCCTTAAGAGCGAAACTGGTACTATTTGATATAAATTCTGACCTGTGCCTCTGGGATGGAACTCCTTGAGAGAGGGAGAGAGACGTCCTATCGGTAAACACAAAGTTAGAGATGTCAGGAGACTCTGGAGAGGACCACCTTCTAGCCCCCATGCACTGTGTGGAAATGCCAAGCCTGCGTTTGAGTCAGGGAGCTCAGACACCACAAGCAGACAGACCAATTCTAACAGAGAGACATGCTCTAGCCAAGACAAGGAAAAGCATGCACCCAGTGAAGAAACCATGAAAAGCATTGGCAAAAGTCCAATCGGAGGTTCAATAGCAAAGAGAC